TCCCAGGTAATTTCAGAACACATTTGTCTTGCAGAATTTTGGTAATTTTCCTGAAATCAGACTTGTGGCAGCTAATAAAATTAACCTTTAGCTAAAAGGGTTTGAAGTGAAATTGATACTATCTTTGAATATATTTGTATCAATCTAAAACATAAATGAGTAAAGGCTGATAGTTTCGAAAGAAACTGTTTGGGGCTGCGTCGGTGGGAGTAACGAAATAATTTGGATATATCAACAAAGTTGAAATGGTAAATTGGCCACCATAATGATTACAAAAGCTGACGTTTCAAGCGTTAGCCCTTCGTCAGAGGGAATAGAGGAATTGTGGGTTGTGTGTGCTTTTAAAGGCAGAAAGTGGAGCTACGGTATTGGTGGGAACATGGCAACGAGAAGAACAAGAATAAATTAGTGGAATTAAAAGCGTTCGTTGATCCCTGTGGGATTTAGACTGCCGGTTTGAAAGATGAGCTTTTGTTCAAGATTTTTACAGCTTTCTGTGCTACCTAAGTGTAAGGAAAGACCCCAGATTGCCATATGTTGCTTAGAATGATTAGGTCATTCTAAGCAACATATGGCAACCTGCGGTCTTTCCTTTCACTTAGGTAGCACGGAAAGCCGTAAAAATCTTGGACAAAAGCTCATCGTTCAAACCAGCAGTCTAAATCCCACAGGGATCAACGAACGCTTTTCATTCCACTAATTTATTTGTGTTTTTCTCATTGCCATGTTCCCACCAATAACGTAGCTCCATTTCTGCCTTTAAAGCACACACAACCCACAATTCCTCTATTCGCTCCGACGAAGGGCTAACGCTCGAAATGTTAGCTTTTGTAATGATTACAGTGGCCAATTTACCATTTCAACTTTGTTGATATATCCAAATTAAAAAATAAATGAAACAAGTTGGCTAATTGCATATTAATTATTTTTATGAACAATTGGAAATGGACTTTTTGAAAGCCTGGCTGTTGTTCTCCACAGGTATGGTGTACCAACTCCCAACTTGCTGTTGATCATGTCCTGGCTGGATCATTTGAAAGTGCCATGAGGGTTAGTTGTAGAATCTTGACAAAACCATTTTTTTTTTTTCAATAAGTATTTCATATATACCTTGGGTTGTTGTATGAATAAAATGAATGAAAATGTTATGTTGTGTGGTATTATTCAGTCAATTGCTGCGAGTCAGCGGTGTTGCCAGTTTGATTATAATTGGCTGGTTCAAGTTCCTTGACTCGCTAGATGAAATAGGAGTCTTCTCACTCACCTGGTTTGTTTTGTGATAACATGCCAGGTCTTCTGGCTTCAACACTGCACTTATTTCATGTGGTGGTGTTAGTTTAGTTTTCAGGAATGGGTCAAATTTAATTTGATCTATGTATTGTAGAAGCAGCATACATAATTATAAATATTCTTTTAATTAATATATACTTATAGATATTCTTTTAATTCTCAGTCTGTGCCTTTTTTTTTCTTCCTCATGCAAGACCCATTACTAAGTTATTCCTCAGAAAGTTCAGTTATTTTACTATACTAGGACGTCTGATTATGTAACCATCAACTCTTTCAAAATGGGTATAGAATTGTAATCATGATTTAAATATTTAAAGCCAAGAATGTGTAAGAAACTTAAATCTGCTACTTCCAAACCAGCTTCTAATGTCCCATTTGTACTCTTAAGGAGAGATTGTTCTTGAATTTTTTTTTTTTTTTAATTCCAGTTTGATGAATTTTGTGTTTTCTGCATGTACAGCTTCTTCATGACCAAGTGGGTGTGGTTGTGTTTGAACCATACAAGCCACTGTTCATGCTAGCCTTTGGTCGTGGAAGAACTGCACTTCCAGGAATGCCTGGAGGCCCACCATTGCTGGGGCATCCTCATAGAAACTGGTAAGCAGTTTGCTTTGGACTAAAACTCTAAAGAGAACTTAACTTTACTAAGATTTATCTTATTATGAATCTTGTGAGGTAATTGCACTAGTTTTATAACTATGAATAATGCATTTTGTTTTAGATTCGGTTGTTGTTTATATAGGGGTGTGAAACTCAGAGAAGAATAATTATATAATTTATCTTTGACACCATTAATGATAATCTTATTAGGTTTTGTAGGAGAGATGCTGGAGCCAAAGGTGGCCTCCCTGCAGTGGGATTGAAACTGAATATGCTTGTACAACGTTTACAGGTGAGGAATAGCAAAAGGCCATTGCAGAAACGTGAGAGGACTGGGACTAGTTTCTTATATTGATTACATTGAAAATCTAAACATTTCAACCGAAATGTTACTGAATGAAAAGCTATTCAGCCAAGTTTGAGAGTTTTCAGTGGAAAAGTGTCCAAATTGGAGCCTTGCAAAAGTTGCAAAAATTCCATACAAACCCTTAAAATGTTTTGCCCTGTCTACCCAATCCATACAAACTCTATTTTAGGTGATATTTGAAAAGCTGTCATTTTGCCATTTTCCTTCTCTGAATACTTCTATTCTTACTTAAAACTCTAAAATTTAGTTGATCCTTTCATTTGAATATCTTAGTTTTTCAAACAAACGGAAAACAACCACACTCTTTCCCAGTCCTCTCACGTTTCTGCAATGGCCTAGGGTGACTTTCCAAGCAGAGTTATGTATCCCTGCTTTAGTTTCAAAGTTTTACCCTAGGTTTATAAGTAGCTCTTTTGTATGCTTCTTCTGTATTGTATGTTTGCATACTATAAGGTGTAGTATGCTGATCCTCTTCCCTAGAAAACAAAATTTTGAAAGAGTAAACTATCTCTTCAAGGAATCCTGGAACCAAGGCTTCATTGCTTTGGTGTACCATCATTTGTTTCTTTTTTTTTTTTATCTGAACAGGCTGCTTACCAGTTGACAACAGGAGGCAAGTTTCAGGAAGCAATCTATAAACTTCAAGCTATTCTGTTGAGCGTTACTCTGCTGGTTGTAGACAGTAAGCAGGAAATAAGTGAGGCACAGCAGCTGTTGGGAATATGTCGGGAATATATTGTTGGACTACAAATGGAGGTGAAAAGAAAGGAATTACCCAAGGTAGACGAGAAGCTTTTTTGGTGGATCATTTTTTTCAGTTTTATTATCTTTAGGGTGGTCAATTCCAGGACATTACACTAAGGGTATTCTTTCTTTCCACAGTCTACCCTTGAAGAGCAGAAACGGCTTTGCGAGGTTGGTTTCTTGTTATGGTTTATTCATCTTTATATAATATAACATAGTACAAAGGACAATAATGTTAGAATTAGTTATCTGAGAATGTGTATGTTATTGCAGATGGCAGCATATTTCACTCACTGTAACCTCCAGCCAGTACATCAGATACTTACTCTTAGGACTGCTGTCAATCTTTTCTTTAAGGTGAGATCATGCAAATTTGTGACATACAACCAACTTATTTAAAGTACTGTTTCTGCTCTCTTACATGAATATTATCATTTGTTACAGTTAAAGAATTTCAAGACAGCTGCATCTTTTGCGCGTCGCCTTTTGGAATTAGGACCACGTCCAGATGTGGCAACTCAGGTTTGGGAATGATCATAACTTCATAACCTTTTTTCTTTTGAGGCAAGGTTTCAAATGAGTAAACTGATAAATTGTATGATTTTGTTTGTTAGATTCGCAAGATCCTTCAAGCTTGTGACAAGAATCCTACTGATGCACATGTCCTTCAGTATGATGAGCACAACCCTTTCACCATTTGTGGAGTATCTTACAAGCCTCTTTACAGGTGGGCAGTCTATGGTGGTCTTCAATGGAACGTTTTCACTATCTGACCATTTTAAACAATGCAATATAGCTTTCTTTGTTGGTAACCTCTGATTTCTTGCCACCCATACAGTGCATTAGTTTTGTAAACATTATTCAGACTGGGTGTGGTATGCACATAAGCAGAGTTTGTTTAATTTTTGTGTGTTTCGTTACAGAGGAAAACCACAAGAGAAGTGCCCTCTTTGTCAAGCTTCCTATTTGCCTGACTACAAAGGAACAATTTGCAATGTCTGTAAGGTAAGGCTTGCAGCTTACCATCCCTGAGAATATCCCCTTCACTTTGTGAACAAAAACAGTATATAGATTCACATCATCCCTACTAAAGAATTGCTGACCTGTCACTCGGTTCTTGGAGGGCGAGGTTTGGGAAAGGAAGAATCAGATGTCTTACAGACCTGTTGAGTGTTTGCAATGATTAAGCAGGATGAAGATCTAATCCAAAGATTGTTAAGATCAGTGGGTTCAAATTGTACTAATTTGTATTTGTTTTCTTGCAGGTTGCTGAGGTTGGAAAAGATGCCATTGGCCTAAGAGTCAGTCCATTACAGTTCAGATGAATAATAGAACTTGAAGGAGTGTGGCAGATTCTTTTCATTACCAAAAGTGAATGCATTTTGAAACAAGAACTCCAACTACTTTTAAAGAAAGAATTTATGGTTATTTCCATTGAAAAGAAAACATTCACATAGCTGAAGTACCTTGAAAAAAATTATGACAAATTATTCCATTCGAGAAGTTAAAAAATGTAAAACAGTTCACCCTTGCCTCAAACTAGGTTCATCACATGTGAAAAAAAAGTGTTTCATGTAGTTAGTAATTAAGGATAATGTTCACTTTAGTTCTGGATAAGTTAGATTTAAGAACAAACCATAATTAGAAACCATCACTGATGTCTTGTGAATTTTCTTGTGCTTACATTTCAAGTAGCAATAATGTATAAACCACAAAAATGTCCGTTATGCTATTAAAGGCAGTGGAACTAGATGGAAGGCACTGTCCTGCTGAAGTGTCATGTGGAATGTTTCAGAGTCGGGTAGCAAAAATCAGGGCTGAAGACTAATAAAATAAAATCTTTCTAATTGATAGGTAAATCATTTGTTGTTTGGTTTGTGCTGCATTTCATTATTATTAGCTTAGGGAGGTCAATTTCAGGAAGAGACTTGCAGAAACAAAGCTATACTTGTAGTTTCCAAATTTCCCTGAAGCTGTCAAGTTAAAAGACAGTGAACACTTAAGATAAGGTAACAAAATTGATACAGCAATGATTCATTCATCAGAAGCACTAAATTAAGAAAATCAAAACTAGTAAATCCAGCAGTTGGAGTAAGACCAACGAGTTTCTAGATGCTACTCTTTACACTTTAAAATGTTCTTCAGAGACCTTCACATGTGAGTACCTCCTCCCCTAATTCTGGTTTTACACTTCATTTTGCAGTATCAAATACCATGAAAAAAATTGGAAAGAAAAACTTCAACACTCAATGTTTTATGATCATTATTTTGTTTTTCCTCTGTTAAATTGATGTCATTTTTATTTCTTCTAAATAGCACCAGCCAAATTGCTATACTTAGGGCTGAAAACAAATTGAATATTTTAGCACTTTTCTCTGGCTCTTTAGCATTAAAAGAAAATGGTTTTATATAATGAAAAATATGTAAACTAAATTCACATTTCAGGATTCTATAATAATGATTCTTTTCTTGAAGTAATGTTCATCTAGATCAGTCACTCTTGATTACATAAAAACTTCCACAATTCCGATGAAACAAATGAAATGACCTTTTCCCCCTGATCCGTACTAATGGCATTGCAAAGGGGTGGCAAGAAAATGAGAGGGCAACACAATAACAGGCTTGCTTAGTTTTCCTACTAATGGCAATTGTCAGTTGGCCGATGAACCAGGCTTGAACTTGGAGGCTAATTCTTCCAGGTTGGTCATCAGCTCATTTTTCTCGCCATCAGAAGCCTTAGACCATGCCAGAGGTAAATGAGTTGAAACTGGTTTTCTATCTTGATAGAAGGCACCACGGGTCTCCATTGACATATCAGCAACAGACAGCCATATGATTGTGTCAGCACCCTGGGTACAAGTACGCAGACGGTCCTTCATTTTGCGATGGAAACCTGGCATTGATGTCTGCACTGCTGGAGTGTCTGCCCAACCTAAAATATAATGATTGCCTTATGTGAACTGATGCAGTTTTGATTGGTTTCACAGTCATCCAATTGTCACATAATCAGTGTGCAATTATTATTGTGTTAAGAACCACAATATCACCACAAGAAAGTGTAATTAGACTTTGCAAAGGGAGGGATTCAAAGATTTCCTCTGATAAAAAATACTGGAAAATAACCAAAACAAAAAAATAGTAATGAGAGAAATATATAAGTACAGGTGGTGCACATAAGGCAAATGTTACTGTGGCCTTCACCACAAGAGCTTACACCAGTTTTCTTGATGAGAAGCAACTATTAACACTTGGAATGCCAGCCCATTGCAGTTTACCCCAACATTTTCCCAAATTTCCCTAATGATTTGCTGGCATCCATCTTAACTCTCTTACATACACAGGGCTAGACACTGACAATTCACTGTCTTGTAAACAATTAGTTCTTATTAACCAAGCAGGAGGTCTGTATGGGAGAATCTTGACCGAGGTCAAGATTCTCCCATACAGACCAACCTAGCTCAGTTGATAAGATGTTTATTATATGCCAATTTTTTTTATATTCTTTGTACCTTTTTTTCTAGACCGGTCTAGATGCCGGTCTAGATGGGAAAATCTAGACCGCTTTCAATATTGATTTCCGCCAATCAAATTCGTGAATTCGGTAGTTCCCAGTACTTGTGAGACACAGCCATATAATAAAAGAACAATATAGTATGATGCTTAAACTGTATGACTCAAGACTCAAGCAAAATCACCATTCTTTCCCCATATCAGCAACTACAGGTACATTGGCCCTTAAATCCAACTTAAAGAACCATAGCACCCACAAAAGGCATTACAAGGATATCAAACACATTTTGCTTTACTTCCCTACGTCTGCACAACACCTAACCTGGATGCATGGAAGAAAAGAAAATTTCCTTGTGTTTTTCTGCCCATTTTTCAGTCATGATCACTTGCTGTCGTTTGTTTTGAGCATATGCCATGGTTCCATCAAATGGGTTCATCTTTTCAAACTGGAGATCTTTTAAATCAAGTTTCATCACAAGCATACCCCCTGCAAAAAAATTGAAATACCTCAGTCTATAGCTTGCTATAAACATTTGAAGTAGCTTTTTCAAGAATGATAAATACCTCAAAGTGAAAGTTTGAGTGGAGTGGCTTTGTTCTGGGTAATACGTTCAACTCCTTGCTCATTTTAGAGAGTCAAATATATCTGTGTAACTCTATTTAAAAGTTAAAACAACACTCCTCATGTTGTGTTAAAATAAACTTTTTATTAAGAAACCCCAACAAAATTTCACCTTGTTGAGCGAAATTTTAAAGGCGTAGTAAGAAATACAGGGATCTGGCTCTCCCTCCCCTCCCCTATCCTTCGTAGGTTAATTCAAGGAAGTGGGGAATGAACAACAAGGGCCGATCATCAAACTGAGAATTCGACAGATGGCGTAATTATTCCTATGCAGGAAAATATTTCGTGCCTTCCCAATGCTTAATCCTATTAACACTGAAATCAAAAAGCAAAGTTCATGGCGTGTTAGAGCTTACGTAAAACTTATTTTCGCTAGGTGATTACGTAATGTGCGACCTGCTAGGCCTGATGTAAATCAAAATATAATTAAAGAATTCGCTCACAGTGCCATTAAAGAAATTTTCAATAGTTTCACACATAAAGCTGTTTTGTAAAAGTGCAACTACATAAAACCCAACCAACCTGACGAAACTGTAATAACTCTCGGAGCTTCGTTTTTGAGGAGTAGAGGTACGAGACCAGATGTCAAAATGTACGTTCCCAAAGTGTTAGTAGCAAAGTTCTTTTCCAAACCATCTTCATCAACTTCTCTTGTATTTACCATACAACCTGCATTGTTTATAAGGACGTGAAGAGCTTCATTGGTAGATGCAAACTTCTCTACGAACTCCCACACCATTCTGGGCTTAGACATGTCGAGAATGTGCAAAATTACTTTATCGTTTCCCGATGATTCGCTGATTTCTTTTCGAGCTTCTTCGCCTCTAGTTTCGCTACGACAAACCATGTGTACTGTAGCTCCTTTTTTGGCTAAAAATGCCGCTGTATCTTTTCCAATTCCACTGTTTGCACCAGTTATCATGAACGTTCGCGATGAAACATCAACATCCAAGGCTTTTGGATCAAACGATTTCTCTGCTGAAAGATATCCGTTCTTCGTATATTCACGTAAACCTTTGGTAAACCAGACTAAATTCCTATAAAATGTCATCTTCTCCAAATCCTACAACTATCTGTGACAAAGAAAGTAACAGTAGTTGGTGTGAGTAACTTTAGTCGATCTTTGAGTAGATTTTGAAGTAGCGTGACAGAGTGGCAAGGCGTATATCCTGTAAACCTCGTTTCCAGGATCTTTGACGTGTAACTTTTTTTGGACGAGATTGGAAAATGTTCACTAGAAAGGAACCTTCTCCAGATGAGGATGATGGTATATTATATCATGGTCACTTTAAAGATTGTTCACTTGTAGGACCAATCAAGAACACTAGCCTAACATGCCAATGGTTTAATGTTGGTCATTTTAAGTCTAATGGCATAAAGAAACACAAATGATTAATTTCAGGAGCAAAACAAAATCAGAAAGATGACTTTCACTTTATAACATGGTAATAGAGAATTCAATTTTAGACATTCCATGCACAATTTTATTATTTTTTTTTTTGAAAAAGTAACAGAACATGCAAGTTCTCTAATATTCACTTGGGTAATTAAAGCTGACGATTTATTGTCGTCAGATAGGGTGCCTAAAATAATAGCAGTTTGCTACCCGTTCTCCTGCAAACTTTTCCTCTTTTAGAGCATGATGCATGATGTACAAGGGCTGATGCCATAAGCCCTGTGGCCATCAGAAAAAAAGAATCAAGCACTGTGCACCCACACTGTTTCCAACTAATTGATGCAATGCACTATTCATGGAAAAATACGAGCCAGATTATTGGATGTTAGTAACTCATGAAAATGACTATTAATACAAATACTGTTTTCTTTTTTTATCATTTGTCTCCTAATTACCAACTTTTCTACTGATACAATGCCATCAATGGTTACAGTTCTTTATTTACAAGTTTTTCCTCTTTTCAATGATTACCTTTCACAACCATCTATTTGTTTTTCCTGAGTAAAGGAAAGCATTGCTTTTACAAGCAACAGTTCATCACAAGAGCAGTCTATTGTCATTTATTTAAAAAAACATAATATTTCTTATTACATTTATGTTGAGATTTTGAATATTTTTCAAGCACTTTTTGCAATGTACTTTCAGTATAGCTTAAATGATGCATCTAGATGTACGGGGTTGATGAGGTTGATTCTTAAAAGCAGATTAAGCAGATTAAGCTGGGAGTGTTTATCATGCAGCCCCGATAATCCATTAAAATCAATTTCAATACTTGATTAAGACACAATACTTTTGTTCTGTAGACGTTACTCAACGTTGAAGTTTGATCAGTCAGCATTATGATGCCAGGGCAGTTACTCGAAGTTTCAGTATGTTAAAACAGGCCTTTTTCTGAAAAAGAGTACCAAACTAGCACTTTAATGCAATTGGCCTACTCTAGAGTTTTTAGAATTAAAAATTTCTGGAGAGCATCCCTATCTAAGGTATCTCTAACAAGACTCTCCCTTGAAGGCAGTTTACTAGATTCTGGGTTTAATGGTCAAATTTTCTGCTGATCAGATTTCAACTGAAACTCAAACTAATCAACCATACTTCAGCTCATCTGCGTTTTCATTGAGTATCTGCATAGTTCACGATTCTGATGTCATTCCCAACAAATGAGTTGTGGCAGCATTAATATCTCCCCCGCATGCCTCAAGCACAGATCGAATTACACCCTCTTCCATGTTGGGAAACATATCTTTTAAGCCTGTTATATCGTGCTGATTGAGCTGACGTGGTTGCTGTTGGTGTTGCTGTGGACCAGTTGGAACAGGCTGACCAGGACCATATCCTCCTGGATAAAGGACTTGAGTACCTGGCACAACTGGCTGAGGCACCATCATGACTGGTACATTAGTTACTGGCATGCTGGGATACATCACTGCTTGTGGTGGAGGAGCAGATGCTTGCTAAAATGAGTAGAACAACAGATTCTTGTCAAGAGAGGCTGGATCATGATGTGTACATGTGTATGGTTCTTTAAGCTGATAGCATACAAATTTACCCTAACTAGACTTTAAAAAATGGCTTGCTAGGGAAAGGGATAAATAAAGAAGTACACAACAATAAAACAGTGACAAAAAAAATTGAAAAGAATGCCAGATCATCATTTGTAAATTTAGGCATCTTACTTTTATTCAGCTTTTTTAAAATAATAATAATAATAATAATAATAATAATAATTATAATGAAACATACAATGATAATAACAGCTGTCACAACAATTCAATTCTTACTTAAAAGAGGATAGTATCCAAGAATTTCTCTTTTATAATCATGTTGTTATCTAGAAGAGTTATTATAGGTTGTGTTTTGGAAAGCAAACAAACAAACAAACAAATAAACAAACAAATAAACAAACATATTACAAAGAGCTAATATTAAACCTACCCTGTATGAAAACACCAAATTGATCATTCCTTCCTTGTCATCTCCTTGTTTTCCACTGAGGGAATACCAATCTTCTAAGGTTTCTCCTGAAAACACTGAATCTTTAATGGTAACAAGACCCCAAGCAATCCGCTCATCCATAGAAAATGCACGCTGAAATCCAAAGAATATCACAGACAATTCAACCAATTGCAAAGTTGGTAAGATGCTTTGACAAGAATCTAACTTTATAATAAAAATGTGCCATCAAAGGTAAATTTTGAAACAGACTTTCCCAGTCTCCACCATTCAAAGCTCCAATTGACTTGTTATAATATGTTTTGTATTACCAGCAACATTGCTGATGCAGATTGCAACTTTTGAATTACATATTTCTAGTCATCTTCATTGCCTGAAGAGACAAATGAGACAGGATTATACGTGTACACCTTTTAAAATACTAAATACTTATAGGTAATAATAAAATAATATGAATGAGAATAGTGATCACCTCATCAAAAATTTCCACATACACATTCTTAGCACCCTCTCGAATGGGACTGTGAAATAAAGAAAAAAAACATTTCTAAGTAAACATTTTCAGGGTCACCACGAAGATGACTTAAGATCAAGAATAATAAACAGAGCATACAGAAGCAAAGAAATTCCATATTTCAGTACTTGCATAGATTGTCTAACTTGGCTTAGGAAAACAATGATAAAAA